AAAGCATGTTTAAGTTAAAGAAAATAGAAGCTAAAATGAGAATCAAATGTTTTACATTTGCTAAGAATATAGATTGCTAAGAAAATTCCATGGAAAATTTTAATATAATCTTGTGCTGTTTGTGTTCTGTTTGACAAGAGGGGAGAAAAAACAAAACAAAACAAAACAATGTGATTTCTTGTGAATGGGAAACTCAGGTTCTTTGTGAATCTGTATGGGTTACTGCAGGCTCATTTCCAGATGGGTCACTATGGAATTGCCCACATGTGGAATTTCAAGGTGCCAGTGTAATTAATTAGTAGCTAGTGAACGTGGCTTGATGGGAGCAGATATTCCCAAATGACCTTTTTCCATCAATAGTGATTGTGGGTATACAGATGTAGTAGTGTTTTGTAAGCACTCCATTGTGCACATCAGCAGCAGGGTTTTGCTTCTTCATCCATTAACCTATAGATCTCAAAAGACAAGAACGTGTCATTGAACGTGTTTCTAGTGGGAGTCAGTGTCTTCATGACTGATCTGGAGATAAATAAAACATCATTAGCTAACAACCGTGGCAGATGGCACGAAGATTGTCTGTCAACGCTATTTCCCGCTTCACCAAGCATGCAACGTGACCTGGATTGCCTGATGAACTGGCCCCAAGCAGATACACTACAGCGTAACAAAAGAATTCATCTCTAAGATTATGCCCGTAGAGTGCTGGGGCGCACCTCAGCCATAACATCTCCTTGGAAAAGGTGTTGGAGTGGATGAGCAATGAAGTCTGGTTTCCCACTGAGATGTGGTGGCATGAAGGAAAGTCAGTGGGAAGCAGTGAATAACCATGGGTCAGAGACTTCCCCTCTTTGTGCAGCCCAGGCAACAGGAGAAACGTGTCTGCCACCCATGGTCTGAAAATGACAACAAAGGAAAGGAAAAGAACCTTTAGGAAAACTTGAGAACAAACCTATTATAGGCAATAGATTGCCACATGATTTGGCAACAGTGTGCAAATGCCCCCATGGACATCAAAACACATGAGAAATCTCTTTGCTGCAGCAGAGAAAGGTAAAGCAAGAACTCTATCTGGAAGCAAAAGCCAGGCAAAACAACAATCAGGCATGAAATTAAGGGTGAGGCTGATTATTCACTTGAAGAAATAATGATGAGTGGGAAAACTCTTTGATGTTTCCAAGCCAAATAACTTTGTGGCAGATATGTTTTAGTAAGGTATAAATCGTTAGCCTGATTACAGGCAGATCAGTGTAAATGTTGTGTTGCCTGATGTCTAGCCATTACTGTGTCTGTTATTATGAAGAATTAGTCATATTAGTTTTCAAAACATTCTTCAACGTTTATGTGTCTCATTAACATCTTTGCAAAAGGGGCCTGAATGGTGCAGTTCTTCTGTCTTTTTAAAGCCACAGCCTCTCCCCAGCATGATCAGTAACGGTATATAGCATGAACAAGAGTCAAACCTTGCCTCTTTGTTTTTGGATTTGAGTAGGCAGCTATGGGGTCATTCACTAGTGTTACTCCTGCTATAGTGGTTTAAGTCATACATTTCCAGAATAGCAACACATTTTCCTGGATGCCAGGTGAAGCCAAGTGGTGGTGAGCAGGCTTATGTTCCCCAGGCTGCAACTCTGTGTTGTGGGTGTACCCTCTTGCGTACCCTTGCCTGCTTGACACGGCTCTGGGTAATACTCTTACACTGAGTATGTCACACTGGGCAGACACCATCCTAGAGATGCTGCCACCCTTCACAAGGTATTATGGTGAATCAACCATAGAGGGGGAAAAAATATAAATGTCGAACAAGGATTAAAGGTCTGAAACATTTTTTCCCTGTTTCTGAAATCTGTTGATTTCTTCACAATCTTGACATCATTTGGGAAAATGCCTGTTATAAATACTCTCAGATCAGCATCTAAGCATTAGATCAGCATCAGCTCTAAGATCAGCATCTAGTGTAACAGATGAGAATAAAGATCTTGTTGATGTTAGGAAGAAAATTTCATTAAATTCTTGCAGGTTGGTGATTCATCCAACATTTAATATGTGAGGAGCAGCCCGTTATTGGCATGTCCAGTGGAACTTGCTAGGAAGAGACCTCCTGGCTACCAGAGCTTTGCAGTCACTGGAGTAAAGACAGGTTGGTGTTGAGATGGACTGACTTGCCTGTGTTCCCTAACTGCCTAGCTAACTCTGTTCAGTGTCTCCATGACACCACCAGCCCTTCACAGATTAAAAACATCTAGGTAACAGTGGAAATATTGCACAAATTGCTGTGCACATTATGACCTGGTTGTCGTGTACGTGACGTAAGTAGAATATACAAAGTTGTATGAATGTTTTTGTATTAGAATAGAGTAGAGTTTCTTCATATATACTAACTCTGCTCCCATCTGAACAGTTCTCTTGAGAGGTCTGGGTGGGGTGAAGGGGATTATAGTATTGTTCTGACTGTTGACTTTGGAAATGATCATGTATTTTGTATATACAACTGACAAATACATGTGTACCAGAGAAGAAAGCAGTGACTACAGTCCATCTGCACCGTTTAGTGTCAGATGGGACATGAACAAATTTTAACTGCTTTTCAGAGAACAACTTTGTGAAGAGTTTGTTCTGGTCTTAAAGCAGGAACTTATGCTGGCATTTGTGGGTATTTCTAAGCAACATGCTTAGGATGAAAACAAATACAATGGAAATTGGTTCTCTGATTTGGTCCCTGTGTCCTTGCTGAGACCTCCCATCTAGTACACTGTGCCTTTGGTCTCTGGGACCTTGGCCTCAGGGGGCAAAGTCTTTGCACACACTGAAATCCACCATGTCTCAGTATTTGTTAGCAGAGCAACCAAAGCCCTGGGTCCATCTGGTGTGTAGGAAATGGGTAGTAAAATTGTACTAGCTCTGGTGAAGCAACAGGACAAGCAATGGTCCTTACCAGTTTACATTTGTTCTTTCATGAAGAGATGACAGTTTGCCCCAAAAGGCTGGATTTGGGCATTCTGTATATCCGTTAGAAGCTCCAGCTGTTGCTTCCTGCATCTTTGGTTTTACTGTAGTTGACTGAGACAACACCACAGTCAAATAAGGGCAAAGTCTGTAAAGAAAAGGTCTTTAAATGCCAACGAATAATATATGCTGACTCTGGAGGCTGGCTGATTGCGAAGTATTTGTATTTTGTAGCTTGTGTTTTCAGCTCTACCAGACTCAGTGAGTGCCATCCCATGTCTAGTTGTAAGCAACTGGAACTATTTAACCATTTAATGGTATTTTGATTACTTCCTACAAAACATTCTGCAATTTATCAGCTTACTTCCCAAATATTTCATTTCTGCTTCCCTTTGATCACTGAGAATGGCCACATATGGGCAAAACTTTTCTCAGCAATTTACAATGTGTCTGCTTACAATTACAGAGAAATTCACTCCTGAAGACTTCTCTAGAGTCTAAATTTCTAATCCCTATGAGCTGGCAGGGGGTTTTTACCCTCATTTTATCTAGATTGACTCAGTACCAGTTTTTTTGGTTCCTGTTTTCTTGGTCTGTTGCAGCACAGGAGAGCCAACAGCTGTGCTTGATCTCAGAAGGAAAGGATCAAAAAAGTCTGGGCAATACCAGGGAAGGAAAGCGATGTGCGAATTATAACTGGGCTTCAGCAATAATAAAATGGACAAGATGTCCAAGACATTCATTAGAGCTGCACCTAAGGGTTATTAGATAAGGGTCTGTCCTGGAGGCCACAGACCCTGTACCCCAAGGGCTCAGTTCATATTTCCAAGGCAGAAGAAAAATAGTTACTTGCCAACCTGAGAGGCAACAACTAGACTGACCAGAATGGTGAAGGAGACCCTTTTTTGTCTCAGGAAAAGAAAACAAACGCAGTGTACTACTGTGTCTGGCATGTCTGATCATCAACAAAGGCGAGTGGCTGACTCCCAGGATTTGCTCCCTTCCTTAGTGAGGAGAGAAGTCATTGTACAAAGCAGAATGAGGCAAATGAAGTTTTCATCACGGATGAAAAGTGGGAAACACTGCTGGCAGCCCTATCAGTGGGCTGGTGAAACAGCAGCCCCAGGGAGACTGTTCAAAGGCTCTTTTGGTTATTTAATGAAGTGTAGTTGAGTTTTGACCCCCTCAGCTTCAGCCCCTCAGGTCTTCAGTGAACGTTTGAGATCTTGCTTCTATCCCTGAGCTCATTGACTACTTGGAGAGTTTTTTAAATCACATTTCCCTAGGTTTGTAATAGTTTTCTTTCTTTCTGCTTGAAAGGTCATGCAACTGACAGAACAAATTCATCATATGGAGAAGCTGAGAGAAGGATCAAGCCCAGGAGCCCACTGCAAGCACCGGGAACAGGAGGGGACCTCAGGCAGCTTGGGCAAACCACCTCCCCAGGCACTGCCTGATGAACAAGGTTCCAGCGTTTACCAGTTCTGATGGTACTCGTAACAACAGCAAGTTAAAGAAAGCAGTTTTATTTAGAGAGAAGGGACTTGTCTTAAAACTTTTGACCAAGTTGGTTTAAACCACAGTGGATAACACACCATACTGCACAGTGCACTCCTGCCCTCATTAGCAAAGCTTTATCCTTTGTAAAATGTAGGTTTGCACTCCCTTCTCCAGAGGTTACTTCCAGGAGCACAGCTTCTCCCACCTCCCTCCCTCCCAACCCCTGGCTGGGGACCTGCCCTCCTGCACCTGACCCCAGCAGCAGTCCTGAGGCAAACACAACCACAGCTGAGGAAAAGTAATACCAGAGAAACACATTTTCAGCTCCATTTTACAATTTAAATTAAGGAGAGGGACCCAGGCAGGCAGCCCCCAGCCACTGCTCTGTGTGTGGCTGCAGGTCCCTGGCTCAGATCACCAGCACCGGTGATACTGCTGCAGTCCTTGTGCTGACATGGGACTGATGGTGAACAACACCATGTCATAGAAGTATCTTAGCTGAGGCTGCAGTGAGTTCCTTTTGCTGCCCAGCACCTGCGGTGACGTCAACCACTTGGCTAAAGTACATAGAAGTCGTTGTTGTTTGACAGGTCACTGTAATGGCATAGGGCAAGACCAGTGGCCTGTGCCGATGGGGGCTCAGGTCGACTTCTGCCCTGAACCCCCTGTGCTGCGGGCCTGCCTGAGCCTGGCTTGCAGAGTTGAGTGTCCCACCTGGGCTCAGCCACAGCCCGATGCTTGCGCTTGAGTCTGCTGCCACCATTGCAATAGGTCCCACAACACCGGCATGTCAAGAAGCGCTTGGCTCGATGTTTGGCCTTTGACTTGGGGGCTGCGGCTGTCCCTCCAGGAGCAAAAGTCCCTGCTGCGACACCCCGTGGGTTAGGCTGCCCTTTCAACCGGCTCCTTTTCCTCTGGATGGGGTCCAGGCTGATGTCCGACTGGGAGGAGCAGCTCTCATTCCAGCCGGTGCCGGCATTCAGGCTGCGCAGCGGCAGGGCGAGCCGCAATGCCTTCCAGAACTGGGAGCCAGAACGCTTGGACTTCTCTCCCTTCCAGGTGACAAAGGAGACGGACTCCTTCAGCTGGAGGATACTGGGGTGGGTGCACTGCAGTGGCCTGTATTCCACCACGATAAGCTTGGTGGCGATGGCATTCTGGCACATGATGCCCAGCTTGAACTCCAAGAGGCTGATGCTCTTCTCTGTCAAGTAATCAGGACTCAGGACCACGATCATCCTGCGGCTCCTCTGGATGAAGTCAAACACAGCTTCAGTGGTATCTAAAAGTGCAAGGGCAGAGGAATTGGGGTGCACAAGGGGGAAGGAGCAGGAGAGAAAAGCTGAAGGAAGGTTTTCGGTGGCATACCTGCACAGATTCCCCCCTTACCACAGAGGGAAACCTGGCACAACTCCAGTGACTTTCAACTTGCCCATGATCCTGCTGGCAGGGACTGCAGGAGCAATAGCAGCATTTTTGCTTTGCAGTGGGTTTTTTGAGAAGGCTAAAGTGGTAAATAAGAAGAGAGGATGTAGGATATGCCAAGACATACTCTTGACTTCTGCCCTGAGCAGCGTCACTCCTGCCCAGGGAAGTGCAGGCATTTGATAAAGGTCAGGTCTTGTTTGGGAAGTACCTGCCAACAGCTCTAGCAGCCCTTTGCATGGGGGCAACAAAGTGAAGCAATCATGTCATCATGCCACAGCTTGCACTGCTGAGTCCCACCACTCTCCCTCTCTTGCTCTCTCATCCAGAAATGAAGCCTCCAAACTCAGAAAGCAAAACTCAGCCGTAAGCCTCTCCATCAGTTTCCCTAGCCATCATGGGGGGTGAAATACCATCCTTCAAAAGCATTTCTTGGGATTAATTGCAGTCTGTAAAGCTCAGCAAGACGCTTAGCTGGAATGGTGCCAGGCAGGCGCAGCATCTCTTTTATTATGAATGTTGAAAAGCAGCAAACCTGAGGGATGACCTTGGATTTCTAACTATGGCTTGGGCTGCAGTAAGCATATTGAAGATGTTATGGCTAATGGGTGAGCAGTGGAAAGGATATGAATTAATAGGGCTGTGGGATTTAGCAAATTAACCCAAGCTGATTAACAGAACCATAAAAACTTTAAAAAACCACCCACTTATTGAGTGCTGGTGCCTGAGATGGAGCGGACCTGAGGACAAGGTGGTTCAAGCAAGACAGAGATCATCAGAGTAAGAGCTCTTGCACACTCAGAGAGAAAAAACGCCCTGTAGAATGTCTTGCAAAAAGCTGTCCTGGGGAGAAGGGCTACCTGCTGCTTCCATTGCCTTTCACACTAAATGCTAAAGCCTTGAGTCCTCAATCTGGAGACTCATTTCACTCCCTACCAGTGGAACAATGGTCTTCCGTATCAATTAAAAAATATTGTCCCTTCCCTACAATGGCAATGCCCCTTACACTTCCAGCACTTGACTGTCTCTTTCCTTATCTCATAGCAGAAGGTGCACTGCACTGCAGCTGGATGCATCTTATTTTAATATTATAAAGAGCAATACTTTTTTTCTTAAATTATTTTCAAAGACATATGACTAGCTGTAAAACTCACTGTCACTAGATTGTTTGGAGACCAAGAACTTGGGATAGCGAAAATGACTGTACAGTTATATCCTGGGAGATGGATGGTGAGTGGCAGTGGAATAGAGAAAGTAAGGCACTGTCTAGTTCTTTAACATAATACCAAAAGTTAAATCAAGCTATTTGGAGCATTTTCTCTTGTACACAAGGTTTGGGTGGATTTCCCCTGACACACACATGAAAACACTGATTCATTGAAACCAAAAGTAGATGATAAAGCCAGTTCTGTCAGAATTGTCACTTAACGCCGTGAATCATTCTTAACACCCTATTTCAAAGGCACAAAGAATTGGCAGCAATCTCCTAATTTACTGAGTCCAAACCTCATTCAAACCTTTCTATAACTGGTTGAGATCTATTTTGAAATCAGCCAAGCTTCAACGTTCTGTGAAACAAAAAGCTTCTTTCCTGGTTTGAAAGGTTTCTTTTTGAAACTGGAATCACAGAAATCACAGTGAAACGTAGGCAGCAGCAGCCCCTGGGAGGTCACCTATTGTACCTGCCTGCTCAAAAAGCACAAGTTCAATTAATGCAAATGATCCCAACACTGCTGAAATTAAATGTTTTGATTGAGCTGACAGTGACAGTTTTCTTTCATCAATTTTGAATTTGCAACACTTTCTGACACTTGACATATTTTTGGCAGGGAAAATGCTCAAATTCCCGAAGATAGATTTTATGTCTGAGAATGGGATGCATTTAGGCTTGGCTGACCAGGATAGCTTGAGACGTTCAGTTTACAGTGTAATTCCAGCTCATGAAAAATCCTGAGCGGCCACTTCACAGTGTGTAGGGAGGATGGTCCCTCCCAGTGACACCAACAGCACAAGATGGAACAGGCAGCAGTAACACTGTGGGGATATGGGTACCAACAGAGCTTGGAATTTGATACTCTTGGATATCCGCTTTATACTAAAAAACTCCCATGTTTACTACATGGTTACAAAGGACACTGCATATTTTTGTGTGTTTACTTGTGTCTTGCCTAATGCACCCCAGAGATGTAACAGAAGGCTATAAGAGCCATACTTTCGATCCAGTCCAATAAAAGCTGGGGGCTCATAGGTCCTATACACATACCCGGTAGACCCCAGATCCACAGATTGTCTCAAGTATTCATTTTGCTAGTGGTCTGGAAGCACTAGGCTCTCTCAACGTACCTGCTAGCATACAAACAAGGAAAAATACCAGTATGTGGCTTAGATGAGAAAATACAAAGCTGAATTAACCTTTTCTACCCAACTGCCTGGAAGGTGATGGGCAAAGCACATGAAGAGTGAGTTTGATTCCTGTGGTTAGGGCAGTTTTCCAAGATTTCTGTTCAACATTCTGGCTTGGTCTCTCAAGCAAAGGGATGGTGGTTCCTTCCCATCTTTCTATCTTGTGATCGCCGAGTGAGCACTCTTTGGATCAGTGGCTTTCTGTGCGCGCATGTCCGCCACTGGATGACACTTGAATGCTGTGTGTCTTTGTGTTTCCAGTTACATGGCCCTGGTAGCAGTGGTGGTGCCTCAGGATAGCTGCAGGCACACCATGAAAGAGACAAGAAAATGCCCCATCACTAAGGAGGTGTTCCCAAATGATCTTGATGCTTGGACTACACACAGTCATCTTTCTTTAATGGCCTTTTGCAGACATAATGGGGAGGAAAATTATACTTATGAGAAATGCACAAGGACTGAAATGCAAAAGTGGAAATGTTTTATTGAAAAGCAAAATAAAATAATACTGACACTTCACAGACCAAATAACAAAAAGGCAAAAACATACAGAAAAAAGAACGGAAAACTCTGGAACAGCTGTACAACATCAAATGGCACGGGGAAGGTATTTTTTGCAATTTATACCACACTGCTTCCCCATGAAATAACAATGAGGAACTTTGTATGAGCTGCATATTGATACATGTTAGATTAGAGCACAGAAACTTGAATGAATCAACTGAAGTAAACATGCTGTGACAGAATCCCACAATGGAAACCACACATGGCATACAATGAAATGTCAGGCATATATGAGGTGCTCTGCAGATCTGCATTACAGCTAGGACTGGGCTATATCCCTGGCCTGACAGCAGGTAAAGCTTCCAGGGGAGTGGAGCCTGCTCCAGCAGTATTCCTTCCATGCTGCTCCCTCTGGACCTCTTGGGCTCCCTTAAGCCCATCACACCTTTTGCCTTGTGGGTGCTCTGCTAATGTCTCTCAGTATTCCTGCTCTGGGGTTGCAATGGCACAAAGGACCAAAGCAATGTATGCTGGAGAAAATCCTGGTCCATCACTTATTTGGAAAACCCTTTGAATAAAATCAGCAAAACAAATGAGGTGGATTTAACTTCCTAAAATAATCAGACTTACTAAAACATCAGGAATTCTCCTGGTACCTCAGACAAAAATGAGATGTGATGTGGTGAGGTCTGGGATGTTAATTGAATTTACACATATTTTTGCGTGGTTTTTTTTTAAATCAAACTGGAATCTAACACAGTTCTGCTTTCACCTCAGGGCCTTCCCTCTGCCTGCAGATAGGGCAGCTGATCACAGAGATGCTGAAAACACAAACAAAAAGGTGAAGCTGGGCAAAATGACATGGTTGCAAGGGATTCGCAAAACTGAGCATGGGTTTGGGTGTTATCTAATACAAATGAAGCTTTCTGGAGCGTGGGAGGCATCTCTGTCCCTCCACAGACACAGTAGAAAAGCTTGTAACAGCAAAGCTTTCAATCACCTCTAAGTGCCTTCAGTGAAGCTAACTGCAATTTTACCTGCTTAAAGCAAAGCTTACTTGGGACGGGGAGGATGAAGCGGGTGAGAAAGAAGCTCTGTTTGTTCCATATTTGTACAGTACCTGCCCAATGGCAGGTCCCCCCCTGCCCTGGAATAACATTATTAATCATAGGATGCTAAGAGCAAGAGGCTTCACTGATGCCAGGATCCAGCCCCACACCTTTAAGACTGGTCTGTTTACTGGGACACCCTCAAACCTTCCTGCTCAGCTCGGTGAATAATGTGTAGACTGCAAATCATAGTGCTTTTTAATGCCATTATGAATAGATATGCTTCACCTGATGGACACCAACCGAGTGAAAGCATGAGTCAAAGGTGACTCAGGAGCAATCATTATCAACAAAAAATAAGCATGCACTTAGTGTGTGTAATACTGAATTCCACAGTTAAGTGGGCAGGACCTTGCATTGGGAGCTGTAGGAGTATGGAGACACCCCCAGAGCTTGTAGTTTTATGTGAAACATTGTCAGCAACAGCACCAGTCAATGTCAGGGTTCCGCTGTGCTTTGGTCTGTCCTACAAGGGAAGGGACACTTCCCTCCTTGGTCTTGCAGGGGTTAACTCACCAGATCCTCTCCTGTGCCTGCTGCCTCTCATTGAAGCAAGGACTGACACTCAGTGGTTTTTCTATTTACATTTTGTGCAAAGGTTGACGAACCTGAGAATCTGCAACTCTGGGCTTGAAACAGGACAGGTGGAGACTTGTTTTGTAAAGCTAAGTACAGATTAAACCTGAGCCCTGCATTACAAATGGTGACATTTTTCATGCACAGGCAGAGAGCACCGAACCTTCACAGCATCATAAAATAGTTTGGGTTGGAAGGGGCCTGCAAAAGTCATCTAGTCCTACCACCCTACAATGAGGAGGGACAACTAGATCACTGGATTGCTCAGAGTCCCATCCAACCTGACCTTGAATGTTTCCCAGGATGGGGCCTCTACCACCTCTCTGGGCAACCCATGCCAGCATTTGACCACCCTCACTGTAAACTTTTCTTCCTTAAATCTAGTCTGAATCTCCTCTCTTTTAGTTTAAACCCTTACCCCTTGTCCTATTGCCACAGGCCCTACTAAAAAGTCTGTGCCCATCTATCTTATAAGCCCCATTTAAGTACTGAAAGACCACAATAAGGTCTCTGGCCCTCTCCAGGCTGAACAACCCCAGCTGTCTCAGCTTCTTACCCAGCTGGATAGAGCCAGTGTAGTTTTTCATAAGTTCAAATAAGCTTTTAGGGTCTCCTGGGGTGTTGGACACATACCCAGTGTCATCCCAGAGGCCTCGGCAGCACCTTGCATGATGCTTTCCCCCAACCAGCAGCACAGAGACAGTAGGCAGGTTCATTAGTAAACTGGGGTTCCTTGCAGTGCTTGTGAAGTCCCTGGGTTTACTCTACAAAGATGCAGCTCTCAGACATGCTCCATGGCCTGTACTAACAAGAGATTTCCCCTGGATTACAAGCATTACAGACCTGAAAGATCTGGGATACTCAGGAGACTGCAGAGTCCCAGAGACTGACCACTTACTAGTAGAAATGCTACAATACAAATAGAGCTTTTTTTGGGTATTGGGGTTTTTTTGGGGGTTTGGGTTTTTTCAAGCGCTTTCGTAACAGCCATTTCACATTGCCAAACTATCTGAATGCACCTGCTCCTTCAGAAATGTGGGGAGTAAAGACGAGGAGTCTCAAGAGTCTGCAATCCTCCCACTGAAGCAGAACTGTGATCTCACAGGAATCAGGACTATGTAGCTGGGACATGTATGAAAGGCTCTATACTGGAGTCACCTTTCAAACTGTTCCACCCAGCCTCTGCAACAGGGTCCAAAGACCAGGAAGGAGTGAAGCCACTTCAGATAGAAAAGGAGTTCTGTCCTGGAAGCTAATGAAGATCCTGTAGAATTTGGATCTAGAAATACTGGCCTATACAAATACCATGCTATCACAAGGTACTGGCTGCATCCCACCTGGATAGCCCAAATTTCAACCTTGAGCCCAGGTTTTTTGGGGTTAATGACAAGGACATGCATTTGCAGAGAGGAGGTGTATGCATCTTTGGTGTCTCTACTGCCAGGGCAGAAGAGTTGCAGGGAGGCATGACTATCCTCTGAAATGCTTCGGGGCAGTCCTTCATGGCAAAAAATGCCGAGTTCCTTCCCGCTCCCTGGCCTAACTTGTGGACTTCTGGGGTTTGTTTTGTTTTGATTTCTGGGGTGTTAAACATTTTTCAGGGGTATGTATGAGCCCATCAAGGCTCAGACTCCTGGGAATTTTTTTTGCTGTCATTTCCACCTGCAACTGCTTCCAGAACCTGCCCTTTGGGAATTTGGATTTCTCGCCCTTCCATTTAATGACAGTCAAGGCCACCTTGGCCTGCTTCAGCTCCTTCACTTTGCTCTTCTTGATGGCTCTGTACTGCACTAGAATGACTTTGATGTTGCCCTTGGAGGCCATATTCTCTAGACCAGCCTTGAGCTCCAGCAGGGCCTGTGTTCCCTGCAAGACGTAGTTGGGGCTCAGGACAACAAGCAGATGTCGACTTTTCTGGATGAAGCTCAGGGTTTCGTCTGCGACAACTGGGAGAAAGAAACATTGAGGTGGTTAGTGATGGCTGAGAACATGCTGCTGAGCTGCTAGTGTGACCCCAGTTGTTTCTTGAAGGGGACAATTAAATCTCTTGGAGGCACTCTCTAGAGACTATACTGGTGTTTCCCAACCCTGCAAGTGATTCCAGGTATGGCCTCCTACTCCATCACTGGTACCCACTACCCCACACAGTGACATCTTCTACTCCCAGCCCCAGGCTGCCTGCATATGTGTTTCTTCCCCACCATGCCACACAGATGCTTGAGGCAGCTACATCTAAAAGGCACTGTACTATGCGTCAGTGACACCACCCATTGCTACAAGAATGCTATGGAGCCAAGAGGGCTGCTCTGGTAGGCTCAGATTTCGCTTCCTTGTAGTGAGAGTGGAAAAAGAGGGTCTAGAGCAAAACAGAAAAAATGCCAGCTGGAAAAGACTCGGCCTGAAGAGGTGTCAGGAAGACCAAATGCCTACTTACATCCTCCTCTGGCAGATGTCCAGAATGACTCTCGGTTCTCCCTTCACTCATCTTGCCTCAGTTTCCCCACATCAAACACTAAGTATTCACACTCTCCCTGAGTGCCCTCATGGGTTAATTTGCTTTGGAAATACTATCATCCTAACTCTTGTTACTCATTCAGCTGTTCCTCTTGCTATCATTGATGAAAGCAGATTTGAGTGTTTCTAGAAGTGACAAGTAAACTGCTCTGAGGACTTTTAATGAAGTGACACCCTTCAAGCTGGAGACATCATGGTAACTGTGGATCCTCTTGGATTTTCTAACATCAGCAGGTAGACTGTCCTTAGGAACCTTTCCATAATTGATGTGAAAATTCCTTGCAAGTGCGAATCCTCTTTGCACTCTTTGCTGCAGGATCTCCCACACTTCATTGACAAGAGAACACTCTTAACTGGTTAGAAAATACAATGAAGAATAGAATAGCACTGACAGGCAACTTCATTTAGCTGTCAAGCAAGTTTGATTAGTTCCCATTAGCAAACTTGCAGGATAATCCATTTCCCACTGTTTCTTCATCAATGACAACATAACTCTCTTCCTGTGACACAGATCCACACTCTGGAGGCATGACACCAGCTGCCAAAAGTTATTTCCTGGCCCACCATGCTTCCCCAAGAAAATGACTCAAATCTTAGCTAAGAAGCAACGGGGAAGCCCCAGCAGTGTTGCAAATGGCAGTGCAATGACAAGCCACCCCAGCAGTGCCCTGGAGGGCTGGTGCTGGATTGAGGTTGGTAGTCACTGCCACGGTGAGCAGGGGAGGGAGCGCTCCAGGGGTGAGGCTGAAGGGCAGGGAGCCCAGGAGTGCTGCACTGGGAGGAAAAGGAGACCCTACAAAGATAAAAGGGAAGGATGGCAAGAAGTGGCAAAGGGAACAGGAAGGAGATGTATGTCTTGAGGAGCAACTGGTGAGAACAGCTCACCTGCTCTGAGCCTGACACTGGCATCAAGCAAATAGAGCCTGGAGGGTGCCCTGCCATGTCATCCAGGCTCTGGCTAGAAGGAACACCACCAGGACTGCAGCTGTCTCCTTGTTTCCTGAGGCACATATGTTTATTTGCCTTCAAACTTAGAGGTGCTGTGTCCTGGCAACAGTCTAGGAGATAAAGATAACAGATCCCAGACTGATTCTGCTCCCTCTGTCATGCAGCCAGGCTGGGACCCCAGCAGTCCTCGCTGTCCTACCCAAAAGGGACCCCAATGGACTTCACCAGCACAGGTTCTGTCATCAGTGGCGTCCTGACCCAAAGCCCATGAATTTAAAGTAGGGCAGTCTGCACCAGCAAAAGTTCAGGTTTCGAACTTCTAGTAGGCGTCAGGGATAATACAGCCAGGGCACTGGAAATTGAGAGAGCCTTGGCTAGATTTGTGCCCTTGCTGTGGCACCTGTGTAACTGTATGTATATCTGGAGAGTTTCACAAACTTCCATTTTTGGTGATTCCCTGCACCCCTTGAGGAGGTGCTGTGTCCAGAACCTTGTACGATTTAGCTTGAAACAGTGAAAAGAAATCTACGTCTTAGTGAAGAGATGAGTCTCACTATCTGCAACAAAGTACTCGTAATCACAGCACCTCAATTGTATGCCATGTTAAGATATAGACTCTAATGAAGCTGAGTGGGAGGCCTTCTGGGAGGGCGCTTTATCTTCTCACTGATGTTAGCACAGTGCTTTCCACACCTCCCCGAAGCAGACATTCCTGGTTTTTGCAGGCACTCTGAGCTACCAGTCTGGTCAGTATCACACTGCCCTGCCTCCTTTCTAGCCTTGACCTTATTCCCTTTTTTTAAGGCAGCTTAGAGAGTTTGCATGAAGGTGAGTGGTCCAGTTCCATTATGTTGATAGATCAATCACTCCTGCACATCACTGCTGGGGAGAGCAACTGAAACAAACAACCAGCACCAATTGCCCACCACAGTCTTTTTGGTGGTCTGGAGCATCTGCAACTTTGTCATGTGAAGCATAAACATTAGAAGATACCAAAAAGAGATCATTAATAGAGATGGGGAAAAAAATAGAGGATAAAATTAATCTGGACAGGCCAGTTCCTACCAGTTTTCAGTACCGCAAAGAACAACAAAGAGTGGGTGTGCATGGAGCACAGCCCCTGTGAAATACTCACTTCCCCCGGGGATACTGTCTCTGTCGAAGATACACAGCTTGTATCCAAACTCATTCTCCAAGACTCCCCGCAGTGTCAGCAGCACAAATTCCTCCTCCTCCGCATTGCGTGCGTAGGACACGTACACATCATACTCCTTCCCCTCTGAGCATTGGAAGCACAGAGAAACACAAATGGCAGAAGAGACACCTGTGATACTGCACATGCTGAGCCTTCGACTTGTTTCATGGGAAAAGCAGTGAAGGCTCACTATATGAAGGCTCACTTTAAGCCTGGGCACCACACATTAAGACACATAGTTACAAGGCAGCAGCACTGCCTCTTTAAGTAGCCCCCATGAACATGCAGGCACTCAGACTCTTCTGGGTCACTGAAGCCATGAGACCACAGCAAGACGACCAACACGTTCTGTTCAGGGTCCTTTTGTCTTTTGACATCTCTGACATTGCTTCCTCTCACTGCTGTCTATCCACATTCACAGTCCCACCAGACAGAGACTTGCACCCTGCCTACACCTTCCAAGCACCCCCTTGGCAGGTTCACACCACAAGCTGCAAGGACTTGAACACCCTCCTCATCCGACAGAGGCAGAAATCTCAGCTCTGAGTCCTAAGAGATGAACTCCTGGCAAAACAGGGAAGCTGTGGAAGAACTGAGGACAAAAAGGTGATTCCAGATCCATCCCTTTGGATGCCTTCCCATATTTGAAAGCAAATCACGGATTTCAATGAATCTTTTCATCAGAGAAACCAGGGACTTACTGAAACTTGACAACTTATTTTGACCTTCTAGATCAGATGAAACAGCTAGCCATCAGCAGGGCAGTGCCCCAGGGAGCCTGATATATACATGCTTTACTGCTGCAGAGAATACAGAGGACTTCTCTTTCCTTTCCCCTGACCCAAACCTGACTTCTCTTGCTCTAAAATGACCCACACAAATGAATACAGGTATAGAAAAGGAAAGGTCAAAATGTCATTATGCTATGAAGAGGGTTAAAAATAGCTTATATGAACACTCCTATATGAAAACAAAGGGTCTGACCTGTAGCAGGATAAAATAAATGTAAGCCCTTTAACTCCTTACCTAGGATGGTTTCATCTGTTCCAAAATGAGCCCGATAGAAGAGGACCATTTCAAGCCAATAAACATGATAGACGACTATCAGCACCACAATGAGCAGGATGGTTGCCCCCAGTCCACAGGCCAGCTCCACGGTGTATTTCGGTGTTACAACTGGGTTCAAAAAGAAATAGGGGGTATGGTTTACAGTTGGGCCTTCAGCTAAGCAGGAACACACTTATGTCACATGTAGCCAAACACCACAGAGGAATAGCCAGGAGCCAAGCTGGCCAACCCAAGACTTTTCTGCCAGGACATCACGGATGGCCATGCTGAAGTACCCATTTGGTGTTACTAGGTCTGGTTGGCCTGGCAGAGCAAGTCAAAGCATAGGCTGGACTTCTGTCTCTGAGCAAGACCCTGGGAGCAGCCAAATGGTAGATTGACCTGTTGATGGAAACCACTTGCACAGTCCAAAGCCAGCTTGTGAACATGATCTTCTCAGCAGTGCAGGCAAACTCTTGGGACAACACTACAGCACTTCCTCCTAGGAGAGCCAGCCAAAGTTGACGTGCTGCAAAATAAGGGCAATGGCCACCATTTTCCCAGCCCATCAAAGCCACAAAGTTCTTGTGGCTTGTCTCAGACTGACAGCAAGGATGTAACTACCCACAGCCTGATTGTTTTCTATCAGGAAAGATGAATCGGGGTTCACTACAGAAAAGCTGAAATATTTAAAAACAAATAGGACAATCTGTGTACATCAAGCCAGAACATCACAGGCCCCCCTCCAACTCATACACTGTCTGTCATACCACTGCTGCTTCTCTGCATTAAGGACAGAAAATAACTCTTCTAACTGTATCCCTGGGCAACTCTGTTTTTATGGCAATTCAGGTGGCAGCTGACATGCACACTGGCAAACTACATGGCAAAAGAACAGCAGTGAGGGAAACCACTTATTTCCAAGATTTAACAATTTTTACTAGGAACTAGGTTACAAGAAAGAACATGAAAGAAACTGAACAACTTTCAACAGGTAATGAGCAGCAGAAGTACATGAGAAAGAGAGGGAAGTCATCCAGAAAAAGCAGGAAACATATAATCTAATGTAATGAAGGAGTTAGAGCCAACATATATAGCTACTGGCTAAAACCTGGAAGACAAGTGCTGAGGGGTTAGGCTCTGGCATGCTGGATGTTCTGTGGAGACTGGCAACACGGACTCTATCGGGATGTAGACCGAAGACCTTTATTGCTTTAAAAGCTCGCCTTATATACTGTTGCTGAGCTGTCACGTGCTATCAGACACATTCTGATAAGGTATCACCTTAGGTGCAGCAAGCTGATTGGTTGCTTCTTCCTGCCCATGTGTCCGTGTACATGCCAGCCAACTGCCTTCTTCTTACTGCAACTTCCTTCTAATTGTTTTTGTTATTTGTCAAGGACATAGGGCCCGATCATCAAGGTCAAATTCAATCAAACCAATGTTATCTCGACCCACAAGGTTCCTGTGTGCTGTGGGATAGCCTACAGTGAACTTAGCTTAAGGTTGCTCTGCCAGCGGTGGTTAGGGATCGTTCTTAGATTTTGCTGTGGAACAGAGTAGAAAGGAGGCATGGTGAGTAACCAGGTCTGCTCAGAGCAAACCCACTCAACTGCCAAGGAGCAGACAGTGGAAGAAGAGAGAGTACAGATCAGCCCACTGGAAAACAGCATTTAGGCACTGCTGTATAGAGAAAGAATCTCAAGTTTTTAGATTCACTTCTGCTACGTGTATAAACATCATTACATTTGTAGGATGAATTACGTTTGCAGGATGAACACACTGGCAGACAGTTTCGGCCTCAGTTGTGTTTGCTCTATTGTTCCTTGCTAATGATCCAGAAAAGGTTTATCTCAAAGGAATGGAACTAAAAAGGAAGAAGGACAAGTACCAAGAAGGAAGAGAAAGAGCTCTTCCAGTAAAGACCTTTGTAAGCCTTCCATGTTAATAAGGCAGAGTCAGGGGAAGAAGGTGTCTGCCATGAGCTACACAAGGCAGGGCAGCATCCCTTATGGGAGATGGGAAGTCCAACCTATAGTAAGCAAGTATTGAAGCTCTGATGAAGTTGATAAGGAGGTAGAAGTATCCAGCTTAATCAGGAAACCTCAAACACCTATAGTGAAGACTCAGTTTTTATTACTGAGAGGTGGGTCTAGGAAAGAGGAATAAAAACTTTGATGAAAGAAAGATGTAGGAAAAACCCCACACTGAGTAGACTTGTACCAGTCCATACCATCCATGCTGAGATGATGGTACCTAAACTGGAGCATCATCATGGCAAAGAGTAAAATCAGACCATCATGGTTAGACTGTCTCACCCCCTGAGCAACATCAGTGAGTGCAGTCTGCCTTCTGGAGAATGCCAACTGGTAGCTGTTGTGTCACGCAAACCCCTCACACAATCAAGTAACCCAAAATAATTTCAAGCAGCCTGTCCCCTCAGATCTGCTTCAGTTGTGGTACATGGATGGGATGAGACAGGTCTATCCCGCCCGCTCTTCCCAGGCACTTGACTGTGGCAGGGTATATGTGACATGCATCCTTAGCTCCCTCTCTCCAAGATCTGGTGCTGTATGACAGCAGCACATACAGAATACTGTGTTGCGAAAAAGGCCTGATGGAATTATTTGTTCCTCTGCTGTTCTGCAAGGCAAGGCTCAAGGCAGGACCAACAGTTTGTGAGCATGCTTCATTTCACACCCGTGCTCTGCAAGTATTTTACCTTTCATGCGCACTATGGCCTGGCTACGGTCCTCGCCTTTGGCATTTCTGGCATAACAAGTATAATTCCGTTTCAAGTCCTCCAGTGTGGCTTTTGTGACTGTTAGAGTCCTTATGATAGTTTTGTCTTCAAAATCTCTAGTAATTTCACTGTAAGAGAAAAACTAGAGCATTACATATGTGAAAGTACAGCATGTTCTTAGTGACAAACACTCCTTTCCTTGATACAACCCAACTTTTTCTTAAAAAAACATACCACCTAAACTGATATTTATAAAGCAACACACACTTCAGATTTTAACAGAGCTGCAGCTGTTCCTTTATCTGATTTTCTTCAATATTTATTTTGCCACTCAATTTTCTCACTGCTGCTGTGTCACATTGCATTTCAGAGAAAGGAGGTTCTTGCCTGCAAAGCAACAAGATCCTGTGAACTCAGGATTCAGAGCCCACGTCACATTCCCTGTGCAATCATAGATGAGTCAGTTTGTGTCTCTCTGCCTGAACTGACCATCTGCAAGATGGGGATAATAGTATTTACTTCTGTCTTTCCTTTTTCTACGTAGGTTTGCAAACCTATTGGCACAAAAACTTCCTTCCATGTATAATTCAGCACCCAGCAAACGGCACTCTTAACCTCATTTGGGTTCTTCATATAAATGAATCCCTATTCCTTCTAATCAATACTATCTATAATACTACATGTCTGTTTTCAGCCTTTTTTGAAACCTTTTTATCATTAAAGCTATTTGGGAACATTCCTCTAGATAAAATAGTGCCTGCTCCTGTTTTAGCAGTCCCACAATAGCACCAGCTGTTGGCATCACTACCAGGACCTGAACAAGGAATGATGTGAACTGGTAAACGAAGTTGTCTCCAATCCTTCTGTAAGACAAGACACCATCCAGGTCTGCAGGCCTCCCCCCGGACCTCCTGGTGTTCGTCAAGGCACAGTGCAAGCCCAGGGGTTTCTGATTAACAGGGAAGGGGGGGACCCCACATTCCCTTGCAAGGGAAAATGGGACTGTCACATATCTGTGCCCACACCCCTCTGCAGGACCCAAGAGAGGTTTAGATACAAATGAAGGCTCACATTACTGTGTTACCTTTGTGTAACTTTTATCTTGGGGTCCGTGATGTCTCCTGTGTTTTTCCCATCTATAGTCCACCACACCTCAGTCCGGGATTCCTTCAGGAAGGTGAAGAAGACCTCACAGGACAGAACAAGGTCATCTCCTGGGAGGAAAGGACAATGGTATGATATTGCAAAGCAGAAACAGCATCACCTTGACTTTTGTGATTTACAGTGATCCTACCATCCTGAGCTCTGCCTCCCTTCATGAGGAAATGAGGCCAGCATCCACCTTCAGACATCTGATACATCAACATGTACAGGGTGTTAACTGTTATGACAGAAAAATAATAGGAGATGTCCTGTCTTCTTAAATGTGCTACAAATTCCTTGACTGCACCAAGAGACACATCTGGAGGCAGATGCTCCATGCCAACCACTTCCTTTGAAAGCCAAGCAGCGTTAATCATCCCCACTGCTCAGGAGACAGATGCCATAAAGCAAAGGATCAAGCTCCACAAAAGCATTTTGGTATGGGAATACTTGTTCAGCCATTTAACTTGCCTTCAAGATCAGGCTTGGGAACATGAATATCTCTGTGATCAGCCCATAAGTGATTTTATCTTACAGAATGACTATGGAAGAAGTCTGACCTTCTGAGCCAAAAAAGTTGTGCTTTAAAGTGAAGACTCTGCTGCTAATCATCATTGGCACCACATTTATTACAGCAATGTAATGGGACACAATCCATTCAATATAGGGAATTGCTCCAAAGAGCTATCAGTCTGAACAGATGGGGTGGGGGAAGTGGTGTGGTACCCCATTATGATGTGCTGTGAGGACAGCAAAAGGAGAGCTGTCATTAATTAGGAAGTAATTGGCTGAAAAGGGAGAGGAGATGAGCAAGATGTGGCCAGGATGCTGGAGCCACTGGGGGACATTCGGAATGAGGGAGGCTTGGAGCAAAGCACAGGCAGGGACAGGGCTGAGACATGGTCCTACAGGAATTTCTTTAAGCAGCTGAGGGCACCCATTTCATCTGCTTCTGCAGTCCTGCATCTCTCCATGGCTGAATATTTATGTTTATTTGTGCTTGCAAAAATAAACTTATAAAGCTCTCCTATTCTGGCACTGAGAACTGGCACCCCACACTGTCTGCCAGGCATCATGTGCTCTGCAAAGCAAAAACACTGGGGATGCAGTGGAAGGGGAGAGCTGCTGTGCCTGGCTGGGTGTCCCCATCCTGTCCCAGCAGGCAGGCTGCCAGGGCAGCAACAGAAGGCAGCAAGCATTGTAATTTACCTGCTTCCAGTTCGTAGACAACTTTCTCATTTGGAGAGATGAACTGTGGTGGCAAGGCCTTGTTTGGAGATCCTGCCCGAGAAAACAGAGAGCCCCCCATGGGGACCCGGACTTCATGAGAACCTGGTGTCCTTGCAGCCTCACTCATGCTGCCCTTGCACCCCATTGCACATGCCCCAATCCAGCTTGTGATATCATCCTGCTGCAGAGTTCCATGCAAAGAGAAATCTAATCCTAGTCCCCAAACTCAGGGCTAGACCCAGATTTTGAGGCTCCACCAAATTTTAGGTAAGTCTATATACAAGTTTTTTGTGCCTCTCACATCAGAAGAGCTCCATACCCGTCTCATCTCCCACTCAACATCTCCCACAAGGCACAACCTGTATCAGTTTCTTTTTACTGGTGCTTCTGAAAAACAAAATGAAAGCATCACTTCCTGTTGCAAGTATTTAATTCAGCTCTTAAAGCAGCAGTTGCCATGGGACTCAGCAGGTGCTTACTGTTCCCTAGGTTTTCAAGTTCTGTCTACAATTCCCTGGCAGGTCAACTGAGCCCTTGTGCCTGGGATGGATCTGTCCAGGCACTGGGCTGGGTAACCAGAGCCCTGCCTGGACAATTTACAACCTCAGCCTTGGCAAACAAAGCTTTGAGATTCCAAGAAAACCAAGACAAGTTGGCTATAATGGGACAATCTCACAAATAATGATGAGAAAAGGGCACTGGAGACAAAAATGAGCAAGAATGCCTGGGTTATGCATTCATATGCCAGCAGAGGGTATCCCTGGCCATCTCATGGGCTGTACCTCACCAGCCTAAGCCTGGTCACAAGCTGTGTTGCTTGGGGCTTTTGACATGGTGGTGGGTAGGACCTCCAGTGCAACATGTTATGGGCAGTCACACAAGGCTGACCCCAGCAAGCAAAAATGTACCAGGTCAGTTGGGTAATGCAGATTGAGCACAACCACAAATTGAACCTGTGACAGACTCTTCTAGCTGTTTTCACCACTTCTGCTGTTATCTACCTGGATTTTACACATTATAAAATCATTCTTACCCACCACCTTCACGTTTATGGTTCTGGTGAGATTATAGGTTCTTCTGTGGTCCTTGAATGTCACAATACAAGTGTAATTCCCTTTATACACACTGCGGACAATGCCGATGACAAGCCTGGGCCCTTGGGGGTATCGCTCGTGGAAGCCATCCACCAAGCTGCAGTTCTGGAGTCAGATAGGAAAACACTTGAGTTTTGGGATTCAAAAGTAAAGATATTGGCTTAAACACTACTACAAAGATCTTTTTTAAACTATGAATATGATACTTGGGATTGTGTTGCAGGTCAGACCTAAATACGATGAACTTTGGGCATGTTGGAATACAAACTGCTATTCACCTTGAAAATGAGGTGATGAAACAGATGACCCTAATAGTTTTATCCCACCTTAAACACAGACAATTTTATAAAAGAGAGATGTCTGATCCAGAAGTACATTTGCAGTCAAGGTGAGCACCTCAGCGGAATGAAAGTAAGAAGAGACAAGAAGAAAATGATGATGTATTCACAAATGGATACTAAGAATAAAGGACATGTCCCCTGTTGATGTCAGTCTTTTGGAACTAATCAAGCTACCCTAACTGACTTCAGCAGAGGATTAGGCCCCAAAATTGGCAACTGGCAAATGAGAATCTATAGTACAGAAACTTTAATAACTTTCTCTTTCTGTCAGGTGGGGCAGGAAACCTCTGCCAAATACCAAGCTAGAGATCCCTTTTCAGAAGGGGGTTACGCAGATGACACTTGATTGTCATAAAACCCAAAGATATGAATATTTTATAAGAGATTATTTCTGAATGGTACATTTCTAAATCTGATACATCCTAATGGGGCAGTTCAAGACAGGGGTCATATACCATTTTTAATGATTTTTATTAGGCATGGGATGACTTGCTGCCTGAAAAATTACTTCCTTGGGGCTTTTTGGTTCATTCTGCTAATTGATTACTGAGATGTGAATTTCAATGAATGGGACAAGTAAAGGATTTCACCTACTGGAGTGAAACTGCTCCACTTGGATATAAAAATAGCTTTTTCCTGAAGGGTTTTAGAGTTGTTTTTATTCTTTTGGGGTGGTTGGGTTTTTTTGTTTGGTTGGTTGTGTTTTGTTGTTGGTTTTGTTTGTTTGGTTTGGTTTTTTTTCTTTTTTTAAATTACCAGATATACCTGTTGCCAATTTCCTTCATTATTAAATTCACTCATACAGAATCTTCTATCTAGAAATCCAGAAGCTCTTTATGAGTGGATAGAAAATTCAGTCCCATAACCCTCTGGCTGCACATCTCCTGAGAATTCTTATTCTCTCTTGACCACAGGCATCCACCTAGAGAAAAACACTGAAGTCAACATTTAATAACATTCAGCAGTGATTCTTTAGGCAAGAGCCTAAGGATGACTGGAGACAGCCTGATTACCAGAGCAGTGTGGAGGGTGGGCAAGGGATGTCTCCACGTTCAGAAAAGAAGTTTGCTGAATTGTCTCAAATAGGCATCCATGGTCCTTGCAGCAGCCTGGTGCACAACTTCATTTCCTGACCTCATGGAATTTTTGAAAGGATGCTATTTTCATTAGCAGGTGACTAGTTTTGTCTTTTTACAGAAAAAGGAATATGAATCACAATGTCCTTTACAGGGATAGTGACTGGCTCATACAACAGGTCAGATATACTGCCCACAGCTGAACTGAGGTTTCTAAATTCCTGCTATTCTCCACTTGTGCAAGCTGGTCAAAAAGTTTTCAGTGCTAGCTCTCAACTCCTGTCCAAGAGCAGTTTTATCCTTGAGCTCAATAGAAAAAAAAGTTCTTAAAATTACAAAAGCTTCATTAACAGCTTTGTCACTGTGAAGGCTCCACTATTCTCATGTCAGTCTCATGCATCTGTTTTTCCAAACACAACACTGCATTCCCCAACTGACCAAATAAGTCTTTCTTACCAAGTACCACTTGACCGTTGGTGTTACACTAGCAGGGTAAAACCCATCAATATCTGGACATATGATCTTCTCATTGGCATGCTCCAAGTAGAACATCTCCTCAATGGGTTTTATTGAATGGCTCACACAAGAGTGTTGGTCTTTCGGAACAACCTCCAAGGGAAATGCAACTTTGCTGCAGTAGGTTGTATTTCTAAGGACAGAGAAGGATAGGGCTCATGATTAGTTAAAACTTGTTTACTTCTACAGCAGTTCAATGAAATAGAAATCACATCTGCAATAATGAGCATCATAGCTCATTATACAGGTATATACAGCCTCAGCTGACTCATTTATAAATGGGAAAGAAAACACCATCAGAGGTGGCCACACAGCTTAGAAAAGCCCATAAAAGTGACTAACAAGCAACATCCACTTCCCTGCAGATAATAAGGTCAAAGACACAATGAACAAGAGACAACGTGAGGAAGATCAAAAAGAGCTCTTGTGCTCAGTTGCATAGCAGATGCTATGTTCATTTTGTACTACACTTAGAGACACTTAATTTCCTAGAAGTCTGAATCTCATGAATCTTAGCCAAATTAGCATGCAGTCAAAACATTACCCTTGCATCTGAAGTTATTTTTACTCTAGACACACAGATCACTTCTTAATGGTGAGTGCCTATGGATTTTGCCATGAGCTCAGCAATAATATTTTCATGGACACTTGCAGCTAGCAAGGAGAGGCATGCTCATTAATGTTTGCAAAGCTCCAAGCATTATTACAATGTAAATTGGTTCAACACTGAGCGGTCTCATAACTGTAACATTCTTTCCCCATTAATGCTTTTGTAAATGGCCTTCTCCCTACAGAAAGATCTGGTGCTAATAGCATAATTTTCCTGCTTCCATGAAAGTCCTTCAGTTATGCTGGGGACTTACAGAAGCTGCACCATACAACCTACCTGAGCATGCATGTATAATTCCCAGTGTCATTGAGAAGAGCAGGCCAGAACCAAAGGGTGTCTTTCTCCTTACTGATGTGATTGTCTGGGAGACGAAAATTAATGGGCTCCTCCAGATCCCGGTCCTGTGCAATCCTGTACCAGATCAGGGTTAAGCCTGCAGAATGGGCTGTGCTGTAGTTGTACTTCAAGAACGTCTCAAAAAGCGGGCATTTGATCTTGGCAGGTTCCCCTCCATAAATCTGGATCTGCTTCATGGTGTCCACACCCCAGTCATCGCAGCGTTCTGCAGCCAGAAAGAAGAAGGTAACTTAGTCTGCAAGCCTGCAGGAGAAAGTAAGTTCTGCTCATGTTCCCCACAGCCCTTGGTCCTGTCCCCATTAAAATCAGACAAAATAAAAAGTAGTGTTTTCAGTGGAGGCAAACTGTAGTTTTATAAAGCAGGTCAAGAATACTATCAATACTATGTCCATTTCTAGAGAACCTGCAAACTTATGCTTTCATTCGTACAACTACATTTCTTCCAAGCTATTTATCTCCCATTAGGCCAATAGGATAGGATATTCCTGCGTAACACCAGGCTTCCCAGAGAGCTCCAAGAAAATTCAACCCTCAAATCTTGTGTGGGAAGATAAAATTTGGATGAAAACACTGCTAGAGGTGCAGGTGCAGTGACAAGGAAGATGGAGATACAGGTATTTAAATAAGAGGTAAAGAAAATAACAATGCAAACATCAAACCCTCCCTTAGAGCTACAGACTATTGCCACTGCCAGAAGCGGCTGGACTGTGGGTTCTGGGAAGCGAGGACTGTCTTTACTGTGATGGATTCATGCGTCGCCTGTGCAGAGGCATGATAACACTAAGAGTACAAGCAAGCAGTAATACTTGATGCACAGTGGCTGTTTACAGTGAAGTTGGGGAAGGGAGGCTTAGGGGCAGAAGAGACAGTATGGAAGAGGCAGCAGCAGCAGGTTCTCTTGGGGATCCCTGAGCAGCTCCCAGGCGCAATACCCAAGTACAGTCAACAGGCTCAGAGTGACTCACAGCACGCTCAGGCTGACATAGAAACTGGGCTGTGTGAAAAAAGCTATGCAGTGCCTTGTGCCTTTTTTTTTTTTTTTTTAATTTATTCTTGTCATTAGTGAATAGTTTCAGTACAAAGAGCACAGTCAGAACCCATTTTCCTTCCAAATGTTGCTTTCCACTCCATTCCTCCTACCACCAAGATGCCCAGTCACAGAGAGACTTGGTGCAAGCAAAGCACAGTACCAGCGTGTCAGCAAACGTAAGAGCAACCTGCATTGCCAGTGCTAGCTGAGACATACAGAGAAGCCACTGTCACTGCATCTCCTGTCTCCCCATACTGACAAGGCAGTGTGGCACAGCACACTTCCCAGCACATCTCTTGTAGCTGCTGGGAGGCATTAGCTAGGGCAGCCTGATGTCTAAGAGCCCAAAATGAGTTGAACAGGAGAAGGGTATGCTGCCTGCAGCGGTCCCCAGGAGCAGTGTCTCAGCATATCACAGCACACCAGAGATGACACTGCAAAGCCTCTCCAGTCTGCAGATATTAAAGAACTCATACCAAAAGGAAAACCAGAACACAATATGCTCTTTGAGCCCAGTTCTTCTGACCTGACTTCACAGGCCCAAAGCAGGATTTCTGGCATTTTATCTTCCTTAAATAGACAGTGGGATGTAGCATGGCCCTGAATTCATACTTAATTAGAAAAAGCAAAGAGATACACCTTTGAGAAAATGCGCCCACAGCACTTAAAGACAACAATGCTAAATCCTGTGGCTTGGCAATACTTAGCCAGACTGAGGAGGAATCTGAGCCATTAAGAATAAAAACGTTTTCTGGTGGATTTACACATAAATGTAAACACAAACAGCACTGCTCCTCCTGTGGTATGCCAAACACCCATATGACAGTGCTGCTTCTGGAGGAAGAGAATGAACTGGGCTAGGAAGAGACAGTGAAGCTACCCGCAGTACAAGTATTTGCTAGTAAGAACCCCAAATCCAAATGGCTGGAGAGTGTTGTCACTTGTCATCTAAGAAATGTACAGATTCTTCTTTCAAACCTGCATCATCCAGTACAGCTCCCACAACAGTCAGCTCCAAGGCTCATTTTGAAAGACCAAACCACTATTGGAAGCCCCATACCATGGGAAGGTGCATAGTTACCAGTCAGCACCATGGTCAAGGCTAACTCGAGCTGCTTTATGCTGGTGGGGTCAAGCTACTGGCATGGCCACATTTCCATGGAGTGGTAAATGAGACAAATGAGCCTACCAGACACTACTTCCTATTTACATGATAAAACATGGATTACTGTTCATGAAGGGGGGGGTGGGCATTGTTATTTTTTTTAATAAAGAAAGGCTTTTCCTCTGGAAGACCAGACTTGGGTCTGTAAATCAGGACATCCGGGTTCTCTTCGTAGTACCTGACTTTGCAGTCTCCTCTTGGGCTGCATAAAGGCAAACTGTCCTTATTACTTCAGATGGCAGGACTGAAGAAGAAGAAAACTCTTCTGCAATAAAACATTGCAGTACTGAAATTCTTGGAGTCAAGATCAATTAAATTTACCATCATAAACAGCTCTTGCATTTTGCAATAGCTCATAAATCAACACTAAAACTACTTACCCATTCTACCTGAATGAGTTAATGAAAATAAATACAATTATTTAATTTTTTTCTTCCCAGATTAACCAAAAGCAAAATCTTGTCTTGACCAGAGAAGAGATGACTGCTACTGTTTTTTCACTGTAAGAGTGAAAAAGAATCACCTGGGGATTTTGCTCAGAGCTGGCTAATTCACCTGTCTTCAGGAACACTGTCACACTGAACAGCTAGTCCTAGGGCTCTCTATGTGTGACCTGTCTTGGGGTGCTGTGTGCTCTGAGCTGAACCCCAAACACAGCACATAACCATGCTGTGTAATGAGCAGCTACACTGCAGGAGAAGCCATACAGCTTGAGATCGCAGGCTGTGCTTGCACCCTGCTGGCAAAGACTCCTCCAGGCTGCCAGGGCAAAGCCAGCCCAGCATGGCTCTAAGGGCTGAGGGATCAAAGCCATAACCCATTGCTCACAGCAGAGATGACAGAAACACCACAGGCTGAAGTGAGACCTCCTTTATGCATAAAACACCAAGTACAGAAGTTGTGGTGCTTCATGCAACTTCCCTCCTCCCTATGCCATGCTGAGAGTAATACTGCTATTTCTGGTTTTTGTGGTGTTTTGTGTCCGAGATAGATGGGCTCTGCCTGACACAGCACGTGAGGGGACTGCAGGGCATCACTCACACACACCTTTGTGAGCTTCTACCTCCTCGGATGTGATGCGGTTCTTCTCCCTGTGCCAACACCAGTGGCCCTTTCACCACAGTCCCCAGCAGATAGATCAAGCCCAGACAGCTGCTGCACTCCCCACATGCATGTAAAGCAGATGGGATGCTCACATTATTATTGCTATAATTTCATTTGCATCCAACAGCTCCCTGCAACATTTTTGTGCCATTTCCAGTATTTAACCTTTACTGGATACTCAGAGGCTATTTGCTGTTAACAGCAGCATGCAGCTACTTCACATCAGTCTAAACTGGAGATAACCTGAAAAAAGTGGCATGACTTCACACTGAACCTCACTGGCATAAAGCAACTCCCACTGTAAAAAAAAGTACACACGTATATTGATACATCCTGACTCCAACAATAATATTTGAGAGGGCATTACAGAAAGATTTAAGGACCTGGTTCTAACTGTGAGAAACAGCACTAATTTCTGCTATGCTGCCCATTTGCAGCAAATCACACTTGTTTTCACTGGCTAAGCCTAGGAAGTGAGTTTCTTCTCTTGAAATGTTTCCTGCACAAAACAGCTGTTGGAGTTCAGAGCAGCTCCTGAATAAATTGAGTGGAATCAGTATTCATGCTCTGACTTCAGAGGTTCAGCAACAAATGGAAACCACTGAAGAGATGGGGCAGCTATATGCATCTCCATTGTCTCTTCCATGATGCAGCAAATGGAGCACCACACACAACCGAGGTATACAACAAAAATCTCTAAAAATCCACCATCCCACAAATGCATCTTCCTAGAAACGCCTCTGCGAAACACTTTTGAAAGAATCCATCTTTTTCTCATAACAAAGGAGGTGCACTGCAAATGCCTCAATTGAGCCCCTCTTACTGCTGGGTACTGTTGTAATCACACAGCAAGGCAATCTGTGACCCATAATACCTATCCATGACTAACAATGCAGGAAAAAAGCAAGGAACAGCCCTGTTTCCAGAGCCCTGCTTGGGAAAAGGGATTATACAGACTGGAGAGAGGCTGCATGGTAAAAGGAAGCACCCACCTACAGCATTGGAATATAAAGCATAAACAGAAAGGTCAGGGTAAGGATGCCCATCTTGTTTCATGTGTCTTGAGATAAAGATATGAGCGCGCTGCTGCCCTACTGCTCCTCCTTCATGCGCACTGGGAACTAAGTGAACTGGCAAAGTTATCTCTAAATGTCTTCAGTGCTTGGACTGTATGCTGCAATCTGTTCACAGGGGTATTTTCTACTGATACAAAGGACAGAAACATCTTCTGTTATAGAAATAGGTCTGTCCCATTTCTGAATCTGGTGCGACAACATCCTTAAACACCAGGTATCCCAAAACAGATTCCTCAGAAGCCAAAGCAAGCTGAAGAAAGTGGTTTCTATAGATGCAAAGTAGAAAATTAAAGGAGAGGGGAAAAAAATAGCTCTGTGGTTCAGTTGCATAGAGGTGAAGCCAGGCATAACTGGAAACCTTTCCTAACCTTTCACTTCTTGCACTGATTTACCCTCTTTTGAACAGAGTTCTGAATACACACATCTGTAATGCTCCTGAGATGCATTTGAAACACCCATTACAAGCACCCACACAGCCAAAACAGTTGCAATTGGTGCAATTTGGATTTTTCAAGAAGAGACAAACTGTTTAACACATGGATCAAAAAAGAAAACCATCAAGAAATGCCATTCCATTTTGTCTACAGTTTGGCATTTCTATGTAGTTATTTTAAATACCTCCATTTAAAAGAAAAATAATAATAATATCTCAAGCTCCAGAACTCTACCAGCTCTGCACTGCCTCCAGACCTTCCCTCCCCTGGGGCTACAAACAAAGGCTTCCCCTTGTTGAAATTTCCATGAAGAAATAATGAAAAGCCATCCTTATGAGAGGTCATTATCATGCCAGCACAAATTACCCCACCGTTTGCCAAATTGATGTGCCCTTCTTAATTGTCTCTAATTTTGGAAGG